ATATTGCTACACTGAAACAGTTTTGTGAAGAGGAGTGGTCCAAAATTACTCCAGATCGTTGTGCAGGTCTGATCTGCAACTACAGGAAATGTTTGGTTGAGGTTATTGCTGCCAAAAGAGGGTCAACCAGTTATTAAGTCCAAAGGTTCACATACTTTTTCCTCCCTGCACTGTGAATGTTTACATGTTATGTGCAATTAAACCATGGCAACATCTAATGTTTGTGTAGTATTATGTTCAACAGACTGTGTTCTTCTATTGTTGTGACTTAGATGACGTTCAGAGCACATTTTATGCCCAATTCATGCAAAACTCCACGTAATCCCAAGGGGTTCACATACTTTTTCTTGCAACTGTATGTATTTGCAAATGTGTGCTAACGAAACCCCTGTTTTTAACGCATACTGTTACAGGTCAATTTGGTTGTTGGCAAGCTGGCTGGCGAGTTGTTTTTTTTAACCTTTTTTCCTTTATTACTGTCAAAATATAAGGTGGCCTGGGCAACGTAGAGGAACCGTTCACTCCTTAGTTATAGCAATACAGGGCAGAGAAAAGTACTCCTGTGCACAGATGGTGAGCCACGAGACCACAGCGTCCCGGAACTGACGTCACTGCGATCTCGGAAGAAGCCGGAAAGGAAGATCCTGCCTTGGAATGCAAGCCTGGGGACCGGTAACCTAGACAACGCGTTTCACGCACATGCGCCTTGTCAAGTCTAGGGACAGATGGTTAGCGGCCATTTTTATAGGAGTATAGCCAGGCACAGAGGCTGGCTGGGCACACACAGGGATTTAAAAAAAAAAATCTTTTAAACTTTTTTTTAAGTTTTTTAATTTAAATTTTTTTTTCATGAGACGTTCCATAGTACATGTTACTGTGGGTCCTGATGTTTCATTGAATTGTTTATGGGATTTTATGCTATATATTTTATACATACTGTATTCTTTCGCATATTTATGTCCTCTTTATAGGTGAAAGGTTTTTATGAGACACTTTTTATATAGGTCTATTGATAGTAGCGCAATATACAAGTATTATTTAATGGGCCCATAGTTACCTGGTAATTTAATTATGTGCCGATACCATTAAAGGGTATATGTGTGCTTAATGAATTTTCCTGACAGCCGATCTTTTATCACTATCTGTGCACAGGAGCACTTTTTCTCTGCCCTGCATTGCTACACCTAAGGCGCAAACAGGTCTTATACCTTGCCCAGGCCACCTTATATTTTGATCCTTGATTGTAATAAAGGTACATCTCGATGTGAGGTTTTAAACTTATTCACTGTCGCAGCACTGTTTCTTTTGAGGTTTATAGATTTACAGTACAAGTGTTTATTACAGCAGTAGTGATGGGTCTATGTCTTGCACACTTTTCCAACTACAATATGGATGGTTCTTGAATATCTGACACAACATTGCAATTAAAGCAGCATTTTCCTAGTTATCTTTTAATTGAGTATTCATTTTTTTTCTTGTTACTTTTTGGCTGGAGTTCTGCTTTAAGGATTGCAGCAAATCTCATAACTATCTGGAGTTCTTTAAATAAGCAAACGATGAGCCAGCTTTGAAAAAAAAAAAAAAAAAGATGGGTAATGTGCTGAAAACATGCTGGATTGACAAACTCCATTAGGCAATTTGTACATATGACAGCATGTTGGTACTTATGTCAGGTCACTGTATTCTAATGGTTTTGAAAGATTGCTGTTCCACCTCCTTTCTAGCTGTACTGATGATATTATTATTATTATTATTAATAATAATTTTGTTTGGGGGGGGGGGGCTTCAATGCTTTAGAAATGGTATATTATAATAAAATTAAATGTATTTATATTCTATTTTTCAGGTATAGCTTTTCCAAATACATGTCAATTGCCCTAGTGTCACTTGGAATTTTTATTTGTACACTGATGTCTGCAAAGCAAGTGGTAAGCTTTGCCTTTCTCTACTATAATGGTGTTTTCAGCTTCTATTAGAAAAACCAAGGTGGGAGATCTGATCTTGAGCAACAGCCATTTGCTATACTGATGCATACTCCAGCAACACACTACATATTTTATTAGCTGACGTGAAATCTATAAAATCCTTGTGTTAATTAGTGTATTGATGCATGGTGAGGTGCAATTATAACATATGTGCATTATAAAGCATGCAGACATGCACTGAAAGGTGTATCAAAGTACTGTATGTGTTCTTGAAATGCAGATGTGTAAATGACAAAGAAAATGTGCCAATGTTGTATTTTTGAGCCTTTCTAGACTACAAGGTTCAGACATTTGTTTTTTAAGTTTAAAACTGAATAGGCCTTTAAACAGATCCTGTACTGAAGAAATATGTACACTTCAATTGGTGACAACCTGCTGAAAATGCTAGTACCTAGCTGTCAGGCTGATCTTCTGGTTTTATTAGCAAGCTATTAGCCAGAAACAAGCATGAAGGAAGTGAAGTCAGAACTCCTGTGCTGTGTTTCGGGCCAGGAACAACAATTGTTGAAGCCTGAAAATCCACATGACAGCCAGGCATCTCACCTGGCCTTAGTGTTGCTGCAAATTAGACATTGTAATCATTCAAACCACATTCTTCTAGGGTCTCGGCAGGTTTACATGCCTGAACAATTATACATGGATTACAGACCATTTAGTTTGTATGTAATGCTGTGTGCAGGCCAGCATTTTTTTTAGAACAGTAATTTAGTTGAGTGAGAACTGTATGATTAAATAAAATAGGATTAAAATTAGGAAATATAATCCTGTGCCCTTTTTTTTAGTTTTTTTAGTATTTTGCTGTATTTGCTTTGTAGTGTCAGCAGCAGTTGGGATTAACTAGGGGTTGTTACTAGAGTCTAGAGAACACAGCTTCAGCTTGCCAACATCCAAGTATCTTGCATCTCTCTGGTACACGATTAATACTTTCTTGGGTATGCTTACACACTTTGGTAGTTGGATGATCCCACTCTCTTTTTGTTGGATTTTTTTCTTTTTGTATCCTTATGGAGAACGCAACAAGAGACGGTGGAGCGTACAAAGGTGAGCAGGAATACCCAATCCCACTAAGTGAACAGGAACAAAGTTGGGAATTAATGGTAGACAGATCTTACTGTAGGCTTATAGGCATATCCATATCATTTAAGATGTTAGAATCTCGCACAACCCAATAAGCTCCTATGTCACTTCTATATTGACTGACCCTTTTAATTCGTTATGAGGATTTAAAAAGTATATCTGATGAGAGTGCTGAAGCCAATAATAGTACAGATAAGGGAGATGGATATTTTTCACACTAGTTTAAAAAGGAATATGTGTAATGTTTTGTGTCCTGCCTAGTACTGTCCCTGTACTTAACCTAAGTCCCATATGCCATTCTATTTGCTTTACAGACATCTCAGCCAACATCCAGCGATGAAGAGGGATTTGTAGCTTTTCTTTGGTGGCTTTTAGGTAAATTTATTTTTCTAGCATAGACCATGAATTTTACACTTTGCCGAAACCTTCAAAATGCTTAAATTTGAATGTGACGATCCATACTACTTGTGTTATAGCCAAATAGTCAGACATATGCTTCCTAAAATGGTGAAGATGTGTTATTACATTACTGTAGCAACCTTATACAAGCTGCTACACAAAAACTGCCTGTGCAAACCACTGTGTGGTGGTAACTTCCCACCACACCTACTTTCGAAGGCATGCTAATGCACTCATGTGCATTGCAGTGTGCTGGGACACAAAAAAATACAGCTGGTGTGATTTTAGAACCGCTAGGTGCAGTTAGTTTGAATGGGCTGCCTAATGTACTCCAATTGCTCATTTACAGCTTTGTGTTGCAATAATGCGCACATTGCTACAAAGCAAGTTAATGCACAATGTGTACTTTGCAGTGCCACTTATTTTCAATGGCACCCCAACACCGTAAGGAAACGCACAGGCATCGCAGCGTGCATCAATGCATAACAACATAATGTCTTGCTTTGGTGTGCACCGTCTTGCTGAAAGACAATGCACACTTGAATGGGCCCTTAGGCTGCTGCTGTGATGTGAAAATGCAGGTTATTTTAGCTAGAGTATTCTTAACTGTTCTTTTGCAAAATCCATGTCATAGTACAAGTAGTGTGCCCCTCCACCTGTGTAGGTAGTGTGAGTTCCCTGAAAGGGGATGAGAAGTGTTTTATCAGTTGAATCCTCTACCTTCAGTTATATTCATCAGACTGAAAAATATTTGAACCCTGTTCCTTACCTAATGGAAAAAAAGACTTACCCAAAATGTCCTAAACTATATTTCCATGCCATTGCATTTGTATATTAATGTTGTTGAAACAGGTGGTTTGTAACTTCTTATTTGATGCATTTTCTTTTTTTTTTTAAACTTCCTATCGGTTTGCTCCAGTACACACCATACATCAAGTCAAAACTGCTATGTGCATTGGATACAGTTAATCTTTGAGCTATTGAAAATGAAAAAAATGTGCATAGTAATAGGAATCAAAGGAAAGACCTTTGCATGAAAATTAGCATTTTTCAATCTGGATACTTCAAAAATGGCAACATATTTTTAATCAATCTTATCAATTATTTAAAACCTCTTTAGCCTTGTCATACGATCCCTTAAAAAAATTAAAAACAATTGATGATTAGTCTGTAGAGCCTTTATACATGGGAAAATCAAAATTATGATTCAGAGCCATTCTTTGCACTAAGAATACTTGATGCGTGCCTGGAAAACATCTCTTCTGCTTGTGGCATTTGAAATGAAAATGAAGTGGAAGGAAAGTAGACCATAGCGATAAAACTGTCATTTAGGTTTAAAACATCACATTAAACACCCTATTAAGATTCTTTTTTGATGGATTGAGTAACATTTAGTAAATGATGTCACTTAGTAAAGCATACATACTTGTTAGAATTGTGAGCTAATGGAGGCTTTTTGGACTTTCCTCGATGAATATGTTTCTTCTGAATCTCACAGGTATCGCTGCTTTGACCTTTGCCCTTCTGGTGTCAGCCCGAATGGGAATCTTTCAGGAAACACTCTATAAGGAATATGGAAAACATTCGAAGGAAGCATTATTTTATAATGTAAGTTATTCTTCACGCACTTTGGATTGCTAGAGCTAATGTGACATTTTAAATAAGTTACTTTTTGCAAATGTATCTCCTTGGCTAGCTAAAGTAGAAGAGACCCACATCTTGGAGCATTCAAACCTTTTAAGCTGAGAAAAGCTGATATTAGCAGAAAGCATCCGTGTTGATCACAGGCAGAAGATTAGTGTGCTTCTGCCCTTTAGAACGGAACGGGGTGGGGGTTCATTAACAGTTGGTAGATAAAAAACCATTAAGAATAAGGCATTTCCATATTAGGTGAGTTGACAGCAAGTTATGGGTGAACATTAGTAGACTAAAGCTGCGATGCGGCTATGGTACTTTGGCCCTGCAACTGTCAAAATACCCAAACAGTCTGCATCGTTTTGGAATCGTGCTGTTTGACCAAAAATTATCCATCTGGTCCATTTAATTTTTCAGTCAAGAGATTGCGGGCGGGAGTGGACTGACAGAACCAACTGAGTGAATTTCAGCTGATTCCTGATGAACCACCTGATATTCAAACAGTGTATGGCAAGGTTAAATCACCATAGTGACTGGGAAGAAGCGCCTTAGTAGTGAAAATAGTAAAGCTGCTATGCACAAATGAGGTACCAATAACCCCTAAAAGACAATATGAAACATAGAATAAAGTGCAGCGCTAAACATGTATAGGTACTGACATATATACACAATCAGTTCGATCCAAATACAAAAGTCCTCCTTAATTAGATGACAAAAAGTGGGTGCTCAGGTATTCAAGTGACTTGGTTCTGGTATCCGTGCACGTAAGTGATAAACAATGCGCACTCACCAGACCCGCATCAAATATGCGCCTTTGTGTATAAGTGATCCAGATGTCATCCGATACTGGGTGGTCCTTCCTCAGCTGTGTATGAGGCTGATGATCCTCTCCACTTAGGGGTCCCCCTGATATTGGACGTATAGAGATCTGGTCTGGGTCCCTCCGGTGTGTCCAGGAGTGGGTCTGAAAATTAGAATGCTCCCCCAAGGGGTACCAAAGATACTCCCATAGTGTAGTATTTTGTAATAAAATATGGTTTTATTGAGCTTAGGTATACAGCGTTGCAGACAGTCAATAGTGCACAACTAACCGTCTGGAATGATAAAATGGCCGCCAGAGCTCCGCGTTGCTCTGACGGCGTGACTTCACGGCGTGTTATGGCGTCCTCCTTACGCGTTCGTGCTCCAGCACGTCTTCAGAGGGGGGTTGCCAAACACGCCATGCCGTCCGTCACTTGTATTTAAACGGAAGTGCGCACATGCGCAATGAGGTGTAGCCTGACGGGACGTGCAGAACAAACTGCGCATGCGCGAATAGACGTGCGCCATTTTTCCCTTGGTCTCCCCGGGATAGATAAGCAATACAGGCAAAACTGTCTGTATATACTGTAAACTGCTGAGACTACATAGGGCGAAGAATATAACGCCCTTGAGCAGAGGTTGAGTAAAGATATTAAAACCATGAGAGTGACTATACCCCAGCAGAAAGAACTGGAATGGTATAAATGACCCCCTAATGAGGGAGATATAGGGATAATCAGTGCTACATATAAAAAGTGATTACTGCGCATGTGCAAAATCCAAAATAAACATAATAAAAACAAGATCAATAATGACATCAGTAAAGGACCAAGTAGTATGTACATGCCACCTCCAAGTCGGCTAAATACTCCAAATGGAGGTGATGTAACATCATATGGCCCTCACAAAAACAAAATATTATAAAATCTTTGCATATAGATATGAGGTATCTCACAAAGACAGAAACAGAAAAGAAGTATCAAATTATTAGGACCATAGATGAAACTAACAGAATTGTATAAAACTGTATGTTAAAAATGTATATATATGTGTAAACCCACATACATATATTCAGACGAAGGGCGTAGCGATGGGGGCAAAATTTGCCCCCAGCCTCGCTAACCTGTTCATGGCACATTGGGAGGAGATGATAATTTTTTCCAGGGAATGGCCTGAACTCGCTTTTTATAGACGCTACATTGATGATGTCTTCCTTCTTTGGAATGGGGAAGAACAATCCTTGATCAATTTTTTTACTACACTTAACCACAACGACCTCAATATTGAGTTGTCTTATAGTTATAGTACTAAGGAAATAAGTTTTCTTGACCTAACATTGATCAATTATCAAGGTGGAATAGTGACAAAAACATTCTTCAAAAAGACAGACCGCAATGGTTACATACCCAAGAATAGCTGCCATCACCCCAGATGGTTGGCTAACATTCCTAAAGGGCAGTTCATTAGGCTACGTAGGAATTGTACTGACTTAGAAACATTCCAAGAACAATCCTTAATATTAAAAAATCGATTTTTAGAAAAAGGGTATGAAGAAAAAACTCTGGATGATACTATTGACTCTGTAGCTCAGCTAAATAGGAATGACCTCCTCATTGATAAACAGAGACCTAAGGAAAAGCCAGATATGTCCGTTTGTTACGACATTTTCGAGACAATATAAAGAAATTAATCACATCATTCATAAGAATTGGAAGGTTTTAAAATCTGATCCAGTACTTGCTAATATATTACCAGAGAAACCAGAGATTGTTTTTCGGAGGGCAACTAATTTACGCCATTATCTTGCACCAAATGTGATAGACCCTCCCAAAGAGATCTCCTTGTTTAATGATCTAAATGGCTACCATCCATGCAAATAAATGTATAGCTTGCAGATGTGATAACACTAGAAAACGCAAACAAACCACCTTTATGTCACACATAACGGGTAACACCTATAACATTAACAAATGTATTACTTGTAATAGTAAATTTGTTGTTTATTTGCTCGAATGCCCGTGCAAATTGCAGTATATTGGACGCACCACCAGGAGATTAAGGGACAGGTTGCGGGAACATGTCAACAACATTAAACGTGGGTACAGAGAACATTCGGTTTCGAATCATTTTAGGAGGTTTCACAATAAAGATCCCACTTTACTTAAATTTACGGGAATAGATTTAATCAAACCCCACTGGAGAGGAATGCACAAAAAAAGAGCTGTGTCGCAACTAGAAATGAAATGGATATACAAACTCCATTCTTTACAACCTAAGGGACTTAATATAGAGGTAGACATTAATTGTTTTATTGAAAACAGTTAATTGGGTAATAGTTTGTCCTTATCACCTGTCCTCTGTTGTTCTATATGAAGAAATATATTTGGGATAAGGGTGTCCTTATCACCAGCCCTCTGTTGTTTTTTATATGAAGAACTATTCATAGTTCCTTTGTTTTTAGGATTTTTACCCTATTATTTTATTATTTTATTTTCGTTATTCCATGCTTTTACTCTATATATGTGTATGTGGGTTTACACATATATATACATTTTTTAACATACAGTTTTATACAATTCTGTTAGTTTCATCTATGGTCCTAATAATTTGATACTTCTTTTCTGTTTCTGTCTTTGTGAGATACCTCATATCTATATGCAAAGATTTTATAATATTTTGTTTTTGTGAGGGCCATATGATGTTACATCACCTCCATTTTGGAGTATTTAGCCGACTTGGAGGTGGCATGTACATACTACTTGGTCCTTTACTGATGTCATTATTGATCTTGTTTTTATTTGTTTTTATTATGTTTATTTTGGATTAGCACATGCGCAGTAATCACTTTTTATATGTAGCACTGATTATCCCTATATCTCCCTCATAGGGGGTCATTTATACCATTCCAGTTCTTTCTGCTGGGGTATAGTCATTCTCATGGTTTTAATATCTTTACTCAACCTCTGCTCAAGGGCGTTATATTCTTCGCCCTATGTAGTCTCAGCAGTTTACAGTATATACAGACAGTTTTGCCTGTATTGCTTATCTACCCGGGGAGACCAAGGGAAAATGGCGCACGTCTATTCGCGCATGCGCAGTTTGTTCTGCACGTCCCGTCAGGCTACACCTCATTGCGCATGTGCGCACTTCCGTTTAAATACAAGTGACGGACGGCATGGCGTGTTTGGCAACCCCCCTCTGAAGACGTGCTGGAGCACGACACGCGTAAGGAGGACGCCATAACACGCCGTGAAGTCACGCCGTCAGAGCAACGCGGAGCTCTGGCGGCCATTTTATCATTCCAGACGGTTAGTTGTGCACTATTGACTGTCTGCAACGCTGTATACCTAAGCTCAATAAAACCATATTTTATTACAAAATACTACACTATGGGAGTATCTTTGGTACCCCTTGGGGGAGCATTCTAATTTTCAGACCCACTCCTGGACACACCGGAGGGACCCAGACCAGATCTCTATACGTCCAATATCAGGGGGACCCCTAAGTGGAGAGGATCATCAGCCTCATACACAGCTGAGGAAGGACCACCCAGTATCGGATGACATCTGGATCACTTATACACAAAGGCGCATATTTGATGCGGGTCTGGTGAGTGCGCATTGTTTATCACTTACGTGCACGGATACCAGAACCAAGTCACTTGAATACCTGAGCACCCACTTTTTGTCATCTAATTAAGGAGGACTTTTGTATTTGGATCGAACTGATTGTGTATATATGTCAGTACCTATACATGTTTAGCGCTGCACTTTATTCTATGTTTCACAAGGTTAAATCACCAACTGGCTTTTACCTCTAATAATTTAGACATTTCCTAAGATCCCCTTCTTAAAGTGATAATAAAGCCTCCCATTTGTTTGTAGATTCAAAATTCATACTTGCCTGCTCTGTGCAATGGTTTTGCACAGAACAAGCTTGATGATGTATGCAGAGCCTGACTCGTTCCCTGGGATGTCTGGAGCTGTGAAGGTGAGTGTCTTCTCTTTTGCAGGGTCGGGGGGGATGTTTCCAGTGTATGGGGGGCAGTGGTAGTGGAAGGCTCTCTCTGGTGGGTAGCTGGTGTTGTTGGTCAATGTCAGGCTCTCTTCGTGGGGGAAGGGGGTGTTGGTCAGTGTCAGGGTCTCTCCGTGGGCAATTTTTGTGTTGCCTAGGGCAGCCCAAAACATAAATACACCACTGGGGTCATGTGTACTGGTATATGTAACTGAGATGAGGAGCAGAAAACATGTTCTCCATTTCTCATCACCACACACAACCGTTCTGATATTCACTTGTACACAAATGGCCAGTGTATGAAAGTGAGATCTGAAGTTCTTCCTGGCCATTTGTGTGAAATATCTCTGTCCCAGATTCTCCAGCTCAGAGTTGAGAGAATCTGGGAGAGAAGCTGGTGTGATGTGAGGAAGAAGACTTTCTTTCTTCATATCCGCACCAGAGGGTTAAAAAAACAACAAACACCAACCCCCCCAAAAAAACATCAAACACACAGTATACACACCCCTGTTAAAATGTCAGGTTTCTGTGATGTAAAAAATGAGACAAGGATTAATAATTTCAGAACTTTTTCCACCTTTTTTAATGTGACCTATAAACTGTACAACTCAATTTGAAAAAAACAAACTGAAATCTTTTAGGGGGGGAAGTAAACATAAAAAACTAAAATAATGTGGTTGCATTAGTTAAACACTTATCCCTGTGTTTAACTAATGCCCAGAAAGCTTCTGCATAGACAGATATGTCCGTACGCCTGAAGCTTCCTAGGACAGCCTGCTTCACTTCATCATCATTGTGTTCACTGTTCCCACAGAAAGATTCGTGTTTTCACAGGAATGACTGCTGTGGGCTGGGAACCACTGTGGTTGGGATAGTCACTGATGGACATATGGCCATCTTTGAAACGTTTACACCATTCAGATGTCTTATCCATGGGTTTTACACATTCATTCAAAAGAAACTACATCACCACACACTGCTCCATGCACGCACTAACATTGTTGTCTGCCATCTTGATTAACAGTTTCTGAACTGGCCTGTGACATGTACAGCCTCCTATCAGTAATAGGACATACTACTACGTGTAGTATCGCCATGCTAGCATCCCTTTTTTTATACCTGTAAAATTAAAAATCCCGGTTTAACTTAAACGCCCCTTGTATTTAGATTTTTTTATTTTTTTTTATTTCCTCTTTTGCACTCCATACTTCGCCATCCCATTTGATGACAATTCTGTATTTGTAAGCTAAATTGCTATATTTGTAGTATAAATTATTTTTTAAGTCCAGAAATTAATTTTGCTTTTCATTCATTCTGCTAGCATGCATTGCCACTTCCAGGGTTCCTTCTTCTAGCACCTGACATATATAACCATGCAGTTCTCTTTACTCAGAGCGGTAGGTATTACATCTTATTATGCATGCATCTACTACGCTGATCGCAATTGTGGAACAGATTTTAAGAGCTAAAATACCTTCTAAGTTTTCTTTTTTTATAAAGTAAGAAAAAGGGACACCTCTTTTAAGTGCTACATTGCACACTTTTTACAAGTCTCCTTGTTTGGGAAACACAATGTGTAGTCTTATTGAAATTCATTTGTATGAAAATCCTGTAGATTCTTCAAAATGTACAGTTGCCCTACTTAAATCCTAATAAACCACCAATATACAGTACTTTCTGTAAAGTATGTCCACTTCATTTAGATTTGGCTTCGCCTAAAAGTGTGTCCTGATCTGTACACTAATGCTCAGCTATGGTGCACACTGTATCAAAACAGTGAAATTAAAGTCTCTCACAAATTTACACATTGGAAAGTATAGTTCTATATGGTTGCTGACATTTTCAAAACTTCAGAAAAAAAACATGGTCTGTGAGAGAATACTGCTGTAAGGGCTCATTTACACAGGCGTGTACTCCACATTTAGATGCATCCAGTGTATAGTTTTGTATGCATCTGTGCAAAGCTACGCTTCTATGAAAATGTGTGCTGCACTTTAGTGGTGTAAAAAAGTAAGATGCAGCTGTTTTCAGGGTTCTACATATCTGCAGATTTTACACGTGCACACATGTAAACACATGGGCTTTTGCCAGGTGTACAATCATCAGTAGAACTATAGGTCTCTAAATGCTTGAAGCATACAAATGCATCTAAAAGCAAGTTCTATTACATCTGCCAACAAGAACTAGCTTTTCATGAAGAAAAGACACACATGCCTGTATAAATGACCCCTTAAGGGCTGAAAACCATATCCAAAACATAAGCAATGTCATTGTTTTATGTTTGTACATTGATGCACAATTAACACTCCACATTCAGTAAACCTATATAGTCGGCCATTGTTCAGCAATATGATCTAATAGGCATCACTAGAGATGGCTGAACAGTATAGAGGTAATCACAAGTTATACCAATCAAGTGCTAACACTGGTCGCTTTATGTGATTTATGATCGTTTTGTGTCTGTTTGTGATTGTTGAGGCAATTCCAGAGCCCAGAGTATTCCTGTGTTCAAAATGAAGGAGAGATCTGCCAGGATGTCTCTAGCCTTACAAAGTTTGAAGTTTTCACTGTGCTGCACAATGCATGTGTTGGTGCATTGCCATGCCATTCATCTTAAATTTAAAAAAAAAAAACACCGGAGTTGCAGCACATTAACACATTACTGTGCGCTAAGGTTTGCCAGCTTGTCAAAAGAAAGGGTACGGTAAGGTTTTAGGTGCTGAGGTACATTGGCACTCCATTTAAAATGAATTGGCTGCCTTAATGGAGTGCATGTCAATGTGCATGCGGTAATGTGTCAAACTAGTGTAAGGAGCCTTAGTGAATACAGACCTGCAACAATTTGCATCTTTTCTATTTGTCTAGAGTTTGCCATTAATTAGATATAGCAAACCTTAAAGTAGATATGTAGAATAGACCATTTTCTTTGTATCCTTGGAATATATTTATTGTACATGGATAAGTGTAGAAGGCATTTTTGGGGGAATTTACTTTGTCTAAATATATATGTTCCAAAAACTATTTGACACCTTCCAGACCACACAAGCACTCTTCTTCAGCAAGAGGCCTAGTTTAATGGTTCCTTAGCTCAAACACTGCCAATTTTTCACATTCCCTTTTAATGAGATGTCCTGTATGGAGAATGAAGTCTGGAAGTAATGTAATCTGCATCAATCCGCACCTAACCTACTGGTAAGCCAGTGAGCGTTCCCATGAAAGCAGATCTCCCGATCAGAGTACGAATTCTTGCCTCTGTCTGCTGAAGTGACTTCTTATGCAGAGCACAATATAGAGTACTACACTTTGACATATTATTCACACCAAGGCAAGCAGGGACAGTCTAGGGACATCTTTAGGTGGAGACCTGTCATATAAGAAATATGGACGCTGACATTTTGCACCTTCCCTTCTGAAAGTGCTAGTGCCCCCAATGTCATGCTGTCATTTTGATTTAGGTATTTGACATCACTGACCTGGGACAGTTTCTGACTTTGTTCCACCTTTCCAGATTTGTATGTTTCAGATCAGATCATTATTTTTATTTTTTTATATTTTCTTTTTTTTTTTTACTGAGGCTAATGGTTTTATCTGTGATACTGATTTGTCGTCGTTCATTATGTTCCAGAACCCTTTCAGCTTCCTCTTTTGGGGATCCAGATGCCAATCATGTGGTTTTATTTGCTCATGAACATCATTACACAGTATCCTTGCTGCAAAGATATTCTGAACTTCTGTGAATATTCATTCTAATTACCTTGTATATCATTGTTTGAAATTTTAAGAGAAATGCCATTCCCACAGCACATTCTGATTTTTACTGTTGATGTCTGTGGTATCATTGTGACATTGCACATGGTTAAATGCTTTAACTTATATTGGCATAGCAAACTTCTTTCTGTGGCATACAGTGATGATATAAGAAGTCCATCAGACATATTCTGTCTTAGTTTCCTTTCGGATACCCTTGTTAAAGCAAAACTCCACCCAGAAGGGGAAGTTGTGCTTTAAGGCTTTGTCCCCCACTCCCCGTTAAGGATTGACACCTTTTGGTGAGTGGGTACCCAATTTTGACAGGTACCCACTCCCACCCACTGCGATCGCCTAGGTAATGAGAAGTGTAAGTTGTCTCCCTTCCTCCTTGCAGTCTTCTGGGACATGTGACAGGTCCCAGAAAACTATGGGACCATTCAGAAAGTGCAGCGCTACTCACGCATGCTCAATGGGCACACAGCTGTGAAGCTGCAAGCTGTCACAGCCGGGTGCCTACACTGAAGATGCCTGCGTCAGAGAGAGAGGACAGCCAGTGAAACTGGTTGTGGTGAGGATATCGTGGGACAGGTAAGTGGCTGTTTTTTATAAGTCAGCAATCACAGTTTTTGTAGCTGCTGACATTATTTTTTTATATTGTGACTGCAGCTCCACTTCAACTAAAGTAGGGACTGCTTTATCCCTGATTTCAAATAAAGATGCATTAATGGTATAATAAAAAAACACTTTGAAGTGGTCCTACTTCATATTAAGGGTAATGTATAATATTTTCAATGTTTGTAAAATAGACTACTGATTTATAAAAATTCTCTTACCAGTTTACTTTAATGTTAAAAAAGAAAAAAAAAACCTGTGTATATAATTTGTCATAAAATATGCACCGGGGACATATGCAGAGTTTGCTTGCTACTTTGCAGTGCAATGAATTGGTTGTGTTTTCCTGGGTCTTTTCTCAGTGCAAGTGCTAGTTCATCCAAGTCACGTATTTTTCCTATATTTTTTTACCTGTTGATTCTACCAGTTAACACACTATGTGACAATACTGATGACTCTCTATACTGTATATATGGAAAAGCATTCCTGTCACCCTAGACTTCACTTCTCATTTGAGTTTCTGACCAGATCAACAGGTATTTTTCTGTAGTTGTAGAAACTGTTCCCAGTCTGAAAACAAAACAAAATGCAGTCACCACATCTACGGACTAGTAAGATGCAATATATTACGTTATTGTTCTTGTATTTAGACACACCTAAAGAGCAATGTGTTGCCTATAAATAGGATACCTTAAGTTGGGTCCACACAGATTGAAATTCAACTGGGACAGCAGGGACCAGATTTCAGTCTGCGTATTGCCCTCCCTGTTCAACAGTGTATTCTGACAGCGGAGAGTCTCCGCTGTCAGAATGAAACGGTCTGCTGTGGAAGATTCCTACATCCACCTTGCTTGTAAGTGTTTGGGGTTTTTTTTTTTTTTTTTTTGTTCAGCCAGCTGCTGAAATAAGAGACTGAAAGCGAGTACCCATCTTAAGGCTTGGTTCACATTGCCGCAACTTGGGATCCGACTTGAGACCCCAAGTTGCATGATGTGAAATCCCATGTTAGTCAATGAGAGCCATCCTAATTAGCACTACTGAAGTCGCTCTGACTTTAGAAAGGGTTCCTGTACTACTTCAAGGCGACTTCTATCCGACTTGTGCCCATGGACTTTAATAGAAGTCGCCTCCAAGTCAGGACCTCATCTATATTGATGTGATTTGCATCTGATATTACAGGAAGATTACCCAGGCATTCCCTGAAAGTTGCTTCAAAGTAGTACTCAAGTTGTATGGCAAAGTTGCACTACAAGTTGTGCAACTTTCAGGTAGCAGTAGTGTGAACCGAGACTAATTATAGTGACAAATCTACCACGCTTCTAGTTGCTAGTCTACAGATCACTGCATTGCATACAATAACAAAAACAAGGAAGAAAGCATGTAAAAATGAGTCACAGAAAAAGGGTAAACACTGCAATAACACAACAATATACATTATATGCTTACTGATTATGCACCAAACCTTTTGCTTTACAGCTAAACTCCGGCCTAAAAATATTTTTGTACATTTACACAGTAGAAATAGGTTACTGTTATTAAAAAATATCTCCATGTTTCTGATGTGATAATTGTTAGTGTCACTAAACCTGCATCATATAATATTATCAATAACCTCTGTATTACACGTAGTTTGTACTCATTCAGTCAATTTGCAGAGCAGTGTTGGCAGCTACTACAAATGTTCAGTTTTCTGTGAGTTTCTCTGCTGAGCATTTCCTTTCTAACACATCTAAACAGCCCATGTGACTATAGAGTCACACATTTGGGCGTATACACAGTGGTAAATGACAGCCCACTCTCTCCCTCCTCCTCCGTGCCCACTAACCAGCTAAACACAATGGGGGAGGAGGGATATTACATCTTGATTGATGGAGGCTTCACCTCCATGTTTTTCTAAGACACAGGCTGGAAGGGTGTGTCAGCTTGTAACTGGCAGAAATCAGACCACACCATGTTGCCAAAAAAAAATAGATTTGATTTCAAATATGTAATTGTATGACAATTTAAAACTGTTTTTATTGATATTTACTTTTACTCTGTATCCACTGAAGGGTTTTTTTTTTTTTAAATTAAAATAATTAGTGTCATTATCCACATACAGAAATAGAAGTGATAATGTAAATGAAAGAGTGTGTGTTTTAGTAACGCTTTAAATCTTTTTTTTCTTTTTAACCCACAGTTTCCTATTGGCCTTGAATGTCCAGTGCTGAACCTTGTAGCTGTAGCATAGATATCATAGGAATTTTATTCCTAGTCACATCCTTCATTAAGAAAAAGCTTTGCATTTTTTTAACCAAATGTAGGGTGTTCTGTGGTTGGAAGAGATGCAGATGAAAGTCATGATCCCCCTCCTCCAATCACAAAATTCCATGCATCCTGTAAAAAAGAAGGTTGAATTAACCGGGGGGTCCACATCATTGGAATTAACTTATTAACCGTCCAAATTTTACAAAAATTGGTTTTGGTCATACATCCACTCTAAATTTTGTGTTTTGTGGACGTCATCTGTTAAGACACAAGGTTGGAGTGGGTGCTTTAAAAATGTCTACTATAAGCTCTTGATTATCCTTTTTTTTTTTTTTCTTTTTGCCTTAACATTTTTCACAAGATATGTGTGCATCAGGGGAGTGTTTATCCTTACTACGGAGTGTCCCTCTCTAACAGTTACCCTAGTTGTTACGCTACGTAAATTTCTCAGCCTCATCTTCTCCATCCTATATTTCAAGAATCCTTTCACTACATGGCACTGGATTGGTACCATATTTGTGTTTTTGGGTACGCTGCTGTACACTGAGGTGTGGAACAACATTCAGGCTGCACCCAGCAAGGACAAGAAGGACAAAAAGAAGGAATAAATTACTTTAGTGTGTACCATACAGAATGCTGCAGCTGAAAGTATGGGGTATTCAAGACAGCTGTGTTCTATTCCTTCCAGTAGGTTTAAAGAGTCTGTGTGATGGCTCATTCCTGTACAATTTTGATACTGTGACAGCTATAAGGCACTAGAGAGATTATTATATCGGACTGGTTAATCTCAGAGTATAAGGTTCAGGATTTTAAGTACAGGGCTATTTTAAATTATGTGCTCACTTGTAGAGTGAACAAATAAGTTGTTGACTGGAAAAAAATGACAAAGTATGCATTGTTGAGTGTGCAGTCTGAACAAAGATGTGAACTTCAAGATTCTATCATGTTAATTAACTTGTTTTACCTCATTATTTTACTGTTACAACCAGAGGGGAAGGTAGAGAAACATGGGCTATTATGTCTGTATTTTGTTTAGTCAAAGGTATTACTTTGTGGATAGCTTACAAATCCGTGTTCTTTCCTCAGTGACATAAGCTGATCTGGAATACTTAGAGCAAATTTCATTACATGTTCTGGTCATTACCTTTTATTTCTGAATTGGACTACAAGATCATCCAGCTCAAGATGTATTGCATACTTGGCATGGACCTTTTTAGATGATGCTTTCATCAGCACTATAGACTGTACATGGTTTGTAATATGTAGAAGGGTTGTCTAAGTAAATATACGGTACATTTAGTCTGGCCATATACAGATCTCTCACAGCAAGCAAGGAGTAGGAAGATGGATACTTGATTACTGAGCTCGGGAACCAGAAATGATCCTTGTACAACATAGGCAGTGGTATACTCTCTGTTCTTTTAATTCCTGCATAAAAAAAAAAATGAAGGCTCGGCCCCATTGATGGTGTTGATCCAAAAATATCTCTGTGCATTTACAGTTGCCTATGACTGCTGGAAATTCACACTGTCACTCCCTTCTCTTTTAGTTGTTGCAAGCAGTACTTTCAAATTTGAAGAATTGTTTGCTTTTTTGAGGGGCATTATATAGCTAACATTTTTTTAATCCATGGTGAAGTCACTGCTGAAAAATCCTGGTACATAAGGATTTGATTCAAGAATACTATATCATTGAAAGATTGATATGCATTTAATGGTTCTCTTTTGCGCTCTACAGTAACATTTCTTTAGTCTATACAATATTCGACAAGTGCCTTAGCCCACGTTCTCTTTAACACTCTGCAGACTTGGCCTTTCATGTTACCCTAGGCTAGCATACACCAACACTTGCTGTCTTTCATAAAATCCAGACAAAACATTTTAGTACCTGAAAGAATTTGGAAATTGTCCATATTCCCACTCTTAATAATTTTATTTTGTATTTATAAAGCATTCCATGAAATCATGAAATGTGCTGCACAAAGAGTTGCAGAAAAAACATTAAAGAAAAAAAAATATTTATGTGTAAAATAAATATATAAATATATATATATAACAGCCCCCCCCCATCCATTGGTCTCATCTTAATACTCATTGTTACATTTTTAAACAAGTTCTATTTCTAATTTATTTCTATTTCTTGTGTTTACCATTTGTTATCTCATCCTTTTGGATATATTTTTTGGATGATTTTATTTGCAATTAGATGTGGGAGACACTGCAGCTATTCATGAAGAATAACTAAGGTTTGTTCTTCATACATAGTCAAGTAGTTGCCTGGAGTGGACTATTCCAATATGCCCCCATCTGTTAGGGTTGACATTTACTGGGGAAGAACCTTGTTCAGATTGGAAACATGTCCATATCGCTGTTATTCTCTGCTGGTGCACAGATAAACTGGAGCTGTCTTTCATTATGTAGTGGTTTCTAACTTGCACTGAGCAGTGGACGTGTCAGATGAAAAGGGATCCCTGTGGTTAGTTTATAATGTCTGCAAAAAGTATAGATAGTAATTAGAGGGTACTGTGCTGTGCAGCTGAACTTTGTGCCTGATGACCATATTTTCAGCAGTGTCCAGAAGTTTTTTTTTGTTTTTTTTTTATTTTTTTTTCTCCTGGAACCTTGTGAGCAAATCTGTGTACCAAGCCTTGTTTAAATGAACAATTTTTAAAGGCCAAGTCCACCTTTTGAAAACCAATAAATGCATCCATGTTTGCATAAATAAATGTGCATTTATTATTTGTTTTAGATATGAGCCTGTACAGCATTGCAACTGTGATTAATGGAGCGCAGGCTTCTGCAGATTTCATCCAGCTCTATGTCTGTACTGAGCTACAGACTTTTGTTTATGGAACTGAAGGAAGTATCAATGGACTACAGGAGCTTTGATCACTGTGCCTGTAGTCTATTGGTAAATACTAGTCCCTTTTTCTGTAGCTGCAGACAGGACTTGTAGTTTATTTACAGATCTCAGGCACTGTAGCCCACAGGGAGAACCCCTGGACTCTGTGAGGAAGGGGGTGCTCTTTACCGTGTTACACCCATATTTATGGTGTAACATGCAGCAAAGAAGGTAGATATAGCCTTTAAGAAGCACAGTGTGATCATGCAACGCAATATGTTGGTGAGATGAACAGCACTTGTTTCATAGTGTAACCTATTAGAGGGTTTTGGCAGGTGTTGATGTCCACAGACAACTCTTATGTCAGTTTAGTAGAGCCAATTAGTGTTTGCTACACTGCAGACACCAAGTTATTTCTGGAGCTCTGTTTTTTCTCCCTTGACTGAAGTATCTTAACCATAAGTATGTATACTTTATTTTCTTTGTTTACCAATTACTGATGAGAATCTTATCAACTCTGAACAAAGTGACAGAGTTTCTTGAAAGCCTGCCACCTTAACCACTTATACTCCTTTACTGCATTCTGTTGCTCTGTTGGAGATATTTAGAGTAAACTTGGTGTTGTTGACATTGGCATTATCAATCATGTCTAATCTCCAAGTGACAGAGTTTGGACATGGCAATTGACCACATAGTTCTGAACACTGCATGCTGAAAAATTGTCACCGGTTTCTTCACTGGGGTATTTGTAATGGCTCAAATGGAACAATGGGGGATGGGGAGTATAAGTGGGTCCTGAATAGGCTAAGTGACAGAGACTGTTTAAGAACCTCTTGACAAGAGTACAGTTTATTTTACATAACTCTACAGGGCTGTTCACATTTGACTCAAAATGCTAACTCTTAACAAACACACATATAGTGTTAATGCATGTTAATAGGTGTGTTTAACATGTATTAAAAACACTGAACTAAACACCTTCCAAATGTGCATTTTGGTGCATGAGATGCACGTTAAGCCACACCACAAACACCTAGAATAAACCTGTAATGATATTAACGCACTGCAACCGTGCTGGAAACACCTGCCAGTGCGTTTGTGGAGCATACCAGAGACTTGAATGGGAGACGTTGAAAGGCTTTATACTCCTTCCGACTAGACATGAGGCTTCAATTGTGAAGCAAAGCGGCAGTAACACGTCATGTTTTGATAATATGGACAGGACATAGTGCTGGTCACATTATCATTTGCGTAGGTATTTGAGGAGCATTAAAAATGCCCCTCAAAGGCCTGCTTTCAATGCCAGTTTAACTAGGCCTAAAAGTGTTAAAATGCATTGAAAACCATCCATATTGGTTTAAAGCAACTGAAATATAGAAAGCAAACACCTATATTTTATGTGCTAAAACTCAAAACTGTTATGATTGTGTGAACTTAATATAAAGAAGTATTCCTTAAATATCTAAAGTACTTTGTGGATTATGCACTCCAGGTACAATGTACTGTTGGCAGGAGGACTTTTTTTTTGTTTGCCAGTTTACTGTATTTGAAAAATATGCTTGCATATGATTTATGAATTAAGTTTATAGATTGAATTGTCTCCCATTCATAAGGCCAATAAGTAGGCGTGTCTGTTTCATTCACTAAAGGTCAAGTATGTACTCACAAACATCTTGCTATTCTTCCTTCAGATATACTTGTTTTTTTCTGTCTGGTCTTTAAGTTGAGATAGCAAAATTAAAAAATTTTTTTTTTCTTTTTTAAAGCCGTGCAAGCTTTATTTTAGGAGTGTACATTACAAAGAATTCTTTTTGTGTTAGAGCACTTTGGTAGCATCATAGTTACATACATTTTTTTCTTTCATTCAATAGACATTGAAATCACATTTGGCACCAGAGTGGTTGCTGTCCTAGCAGTGCACAAGATATATATATATATATATATATATATATATATATATATATATATATATTTATTTATTTATTTTTTTCAAGTTTACTTCTTCTGTACATGCTTACAGTAGTTCTAGTGCTTACCACTCCACCCTAAGGCCTCTTGCACATGATCAGCTGAGCCTGTTCATTGTAATTACAGCTTTTTTTTTTTCCCTGCCAGGGAAGCCCATGTGCTGCGTACAGCCTCTCATAGACATTAAATGCTTGGTTGTACAGCAGTGCTGTTGTAAATGTGAGTATTAGTATACAGACGTATGCAAAACAATATAGAAAATTCTCTACTTTTTGCATCCACCCATGCCATAAACACATTTACAGTAGTACTGGTGTATAGCCAACACTTTATGGTGCACCTGAACTTTCCAGGTGGAAGTAAGACACTGGTATTTATGTTGAAATGATTTAGCCACTCATGTGCAGGAGCCCTAAATCTCAAACAGCTGATGCGTTTTGAGGCCCTCATAAACAGCCTTCTAATGTTGAAAAAAAGCGAACTTCCTAAAATACGATGTTCTTGATCAGCTGACATTTTAGCTTACTAGCTTTGTTGCCTTTAGTCAAACTATGTAAGTAGAACTTGTACATTTTTGTAAAGTTTATGATTTGAGTAGACACATCTATTTTAATACTGTGCATATCTTCAGTCACTTGTTACCGTTTAGTGAAAGCTTCTGTCTGAATTTTTTCCGTTTGAATAAAGCTGCCGCTCTACGCTATATAATGTGTTCTAATTGTTTTTAGAAAAAAAAAAAACCTTAAATTTGTATTGTTGCAATATGATGTGGCTTATGTTTACTGTACTTGAAAGAGAACTTTCTGTTATGAAAGAAGGTTTAAACATGCAGCAAATAAAGCAACATATTTTTACCAAGGTCATCCGTCCCGTTTATAATCTGATACAGGTTTTTTTTTTTTCCTGGCCTTTGTGAACAGTTCTGTGGGAACCAGAGCATTTCTTAGGTTTTGACTATAGGTAGCGTATAATGTCCACGATTGTTTACCCTACATATATATCATCCTCCTAACGTTTACTGTACGTTACCAGTATGACATACCCAAATGCATTAACCAATAAAACAGTCCTCCCCCAGCCCATAAACACCTCCACTTCACAGGAAGAGTTGAATTTTCAGAAGTGTATGGAGCATTTTCTGCATGGTGCTGTTTTCTAGATGAGTGCGATTTCCTGACAACCTCCTTTTCCCTAGATATTCTGCAAGCTTTTGTTTGTCCTTTTAACAACAAAACCATTGACCAGCCAAGTATAAACCCTCCCACTCCCATAATGCTTCAATTTTTTTTTTTGCTAGTGCCCTAGCAAGATGAAGTCATCTTTTCTCATTCTTACTTTGAGAATATAGGTTTTTTTTTTTTTTCAATCAGTCGTCAAGCTGTTAGCAGCACCTTGAAGGCTGTACCAGGACCTGCTGGGCTGTGGATTGCGAGGCTAGCCTGTAACATGATTTTTAATCACTGGGTTCTACATATAGTACTCCCAGGACACCTACTGGACATGTATTGGAGTCACACATAAATTGCAGATCTGATCTGTCACCTGTGATTCTTCTACCTGTATTTCTACTAGCTTTTGGTTTGTCCTTACCTCCTTTCTGCTGTGGTTCTTGTTGTACCCGTGATTCCACAAGCATGTTTTTTTGTTTTTACACAGGACTGAGTGCTGTAAGCATCAGCTGGTCTCGGATGCTGATTAATATAATAAACTACAAGGCTAGTCCCCTGCCCAGCCTGGCTTTCTGTCTCTTGGTCATGGCACAGCTAATCAAAGTGGCACCCTTTTCCTCCTGTCGTGCTGCAGCCAGTCAGAAAGCCTTCCCCTTCTTGCCTGGTGTATTTAAACTGAGTGCAGCTCTCAACTGGTTGCCTTGGAAGTATGTGTATGATGGGAGCAATGGTGAAAAGACGACTGCTGAAAAGGCAGAAAGAATTAGTGTACAGTGCATGCACAAAGCTGCAGTTACTGACACAGCACTGCTTTCTACAGAGCATCAACCCTTTTGGGGAAAAACAATGGCAGTAAAAAAATTATTAGGTTTCATTATGCTCATATAGGGTGAAGTCCAGGAGACTTACTATAGTTGAAGGCATGGGGAGTGCTTTGAGGAGAAAAAGCAATGAACTAGGCAATCAGAGTGCTAAATGCAGATCAAATGCCACTTTACAGGAATGTTCCGTCCAGCCATGGGCATACTGCCAAGCAAGTCATTAGGGACTAGGTCATGCCAGTAGATGTGCCATAGCCCTGAACATCTAAAGCACTAACAATAGAGTACGCTAGGTGTCTGAGAAATGCCACGAGCTAAGCACAGTGCCCAAAGGAGCGCATTACAGGTAAGCCCTACAGAGTCCTGTACAGGATTAGCTGAACCATAGAGCTGCATAAAAGCTCAGCAGTAAAACAATGAAGACTGGAATGAAAAAAAAAATTGCTGATAAAGAAAAAAATATTTAGTAAAACAGTTAAAGTGGTTCTAAATTACTATTTTTCACCTTAATGCATTCTCTGCATTAAGGTAAAAAAAATAACTCTTCAATAGCAGCTTCCCCCCAGCACCCCTTAAACACTTTTAGTCTTCTTTTGATCCAGCACTGTCCCATCTGCAGCAATTCTTCTATCCTCTTCCTGGTCTCGCAATCTTTGCTGATAGCAGTGGGAGCCATTGGCTACTACTGCTGTAAATCAAATCCTGTGAGGAGGGAGCAGGGGGTGCGGCTGAGCTATGGATTCACACAGCCCGATGTGGGAGCATGCCCCCATAGCAAGCAGCTTGCTATGGAGGCACTTGAAGAAGAGTAGGGAATGTTGGTGTGCCCCCCAGAAGTGGAGGTAAGTGGTCACAAAGCAGGTAAGTATAATGTTTTTTATTTTAGGGAAAAAAAATAGGTTTACAACTGCTTTAAACTTTTTTTTTTCTAAAGAGAAAAAGACATCCATCCTCCTAGAACAGAAGCATGATGGGAGTAGGAGGGGTTTTCATGACTGGCTAATGGCGTTTGTTTACCAGGTTCAGTTCCTCTTGCTCAGCATCCATTTATTTGACACCCCCCTCTAAGTCGTGATCATTTGACTCCAGTGAACATGCATGGGATTGATGGTGACCTTATCATTGCTGACCAGTCCAAACAAGGAAGGAAGTCAGAGTAGATGGAAGCGCCCATGAGAGTGGATTCTGTGAAACGCAAGTTTGCAATAATATTTTAATATGAAGTGAATACTAGTACATTATGGTATAAAGCTCCTGAGGGCCATAAGCATGACCGTGATGTTATTTGTTTCAAATACCACAATATTTAAAGCATTTATCAGTTTTTGGGTGGATTGGCTTTTTAACAAATGGTGACATCCCTAATATGAGAGATGAGAGAGAGAGAAAAAAAAAAAAACAGCCTCTCAACTTTTTTTTTTTCCCCCCCCCCAACCTCGAGGAACCCTTTCTGGTCTCAAGGAACCCCTGCTAAAAATGACTATATCTACAACTCATGATACATTATATTAGTGTAATGGTCATTGGGAAGAATGCTCCTTACACTTGTGGTCACTGGAAAAATAATCATCACCCTTACAGATAGCTAAAAGGATCAATTGTGTAAGTGGGAACTTCTCTGAGAGGAAGAAATTACTCAAGGAACCACTAGTAACCTCTAGAGCATGGGTGTCAAACTGGTGGCCCTCCAGCTGTTGCCAAGCTACAAGTCCCATGAGCATTGCAAGATTGACAGTTACAAGCATAACGCCTAAAGGCAGAAACATGATGGGACTTGTAATTTCGCAACAGCTGGAGGGTGGCCAGTTTGACACCCCTACTCTAGAGGACCGCTAGGGTTTCATAGAACCCTGGCTGAGAAACCTTGACGTAGATGTTAGTAAAACAGGCATACAGTTTAAGTATTTACTCAATATAATATTCTGACCAATCAAAGTAGTTTATAATTTATTGAATTATAATCAGTTAATCTTGTAAAATGGTACATATAAATAATGTCATTTTGGTTATTGAAGGTTCAGCCAAAAGTGCAATATCTATTTACATGGCCATGTTGTAATTATGCGCAGATACATCATTATCCTAGTAAACCCAACATCCCCAGGAACTAGGTTTTTTTGTAGGCTTCCGCTACAGATTTATGACTTTCTGAAAATGCTAGTTGCCTGACTGCATCTAGCTTCAGTACTTTGAGTCACTGACCCAGAAGAAGCAGGCAGCAAGTAGACTTAGAGCTTGTGGAACAGTAAATTTGTTTTAGTTCAATGACACAAAAGGTCCTGAAGCCACTGGGATCATCATGACAGCCAGGAAGCTCAGATTGAAGATTCAATCATATGAAAAGCAAATTTCTATTGATTTCATCTGCACATGAATGGGTATTCAAATTGGGCACAACTATAATTTATTGAGTAAAGACTCTCAATGGTCTCTCAGTAATTTATCCTCTATAAGTCAACCAAAGTTAAAAAACCAAACATTTTGAATATATGATATTGGATAGCCATTGAAACAGGAATTCAGCAAACAACGTTTAATGCAAAGCATATGAGAGAAAAAAAATAAAATCCCAAATCATCACTTTATTAGGGAGTGAATTTAGAAAAATAGTACAGAAGGGCTAGCTGAATTAACTTGGAGACTTCTTGCGTCCTAATGGAATAGGTGGTAGAATGGGTTTGGTATTAGACCCTGGGCGGCTTGCTTGAGCAGAAAGCAGCGATGAACAAGATTTGGACTTTGATGTTCTGACATTAGAGCGTGTAGATGATGGTAGACGTGGTGTGTCTGGAGTGTTGCCCACACTCTTTTTATCACCTGTAATATAGATAAAAGCGTTTATAGATTATAAAAAAAAAAAAACAACACACATATTGGCTTGATCAAATAAACACTGCACAGAGCGATGATGTGGAAAGTATATTAACCCAGATTACTATTTTTATTTCGGTTTAGCATAGTCAGATTAAAGTGTATGTAAAGGCAAAACCTTTTTTTTTTTAAATCTGCTGTCAAATTCTTATTTCCCTCTTAAGGGTCCCAGCTGGCAAGATTCAACCTTCTTTGTCCTGGTGACTATTGTCATCCAGACAAAAGTGAAAGAAAATATAAAATTTCAAAATTGTAATGCAGAATTGTAGTTTTTACCAAGAAGGAAGATAGGCAAAACTTTTTTTTTCATTTTGGAAAGAGTAAGGGAGGGTTATAACTCCTGTCAGTTTATTTTTTTGCCATCTATGACCCATTGGGGAGATTTATTTTCACTACCTGTTGCATAGCCAAAACAGGAAGTGAGAGAAAATCAATCAATGGAAATATAAGCGCTTCCTTTGGGGCCCTCCAGGTCACCAGAACTAGTGTCCCAATTGGAAAATTTCCTCTCTATTACTGTTGTGGGGACAACCCAAAATTTGGGGTTTTCTTTTACTTTCACTTTTGATAATAGTAAAAAGGACAAATAGAGAGGGTGACTCTCCCTAACAGGGACACAGACAGCAATAAAAATTGACAGGTGTTCTAATCCATCTCTACTGTCAAACACTAGAAAAAAAAAATGTTTTGCCTTTAGTTATACTGTAATTCATTCAACTGGGACAAAATTTGGGAGATGGCTTTCTAAGACAGAAATTACCTTTTTTAGGAAAATTTAATCTATCCTACTGTTGCATCTCCAGTACAAAAGGTAAAGGGAAATCTCCCAAATGGGACAAAATTAAAAAAAACATAAAACAGTAGAGATTATAACTTTTCCCTACTTTATCCAAAACTAAAAGGGTCTAGGAAGGTTTCATGATAAAAATGAAGTTGCCAGGCTAGGCAATTTTGCAAATAAGATATGAATACAAAAAGAATAAGAAGATGAGCAAAAAAAACATCAATTTTAACACCTGAAGGTGTCTCTGGGGCTTGACAGCAGGATCTCCCTAAACTTGAGCACAGAACATGGTATCCAGAATTTGCAAACCCACCCAGGTCCAGCAAAGCATCTGTAGTCATGGAACAAAGGATCAGAATCTAACCACACGGTTAAGAACAACTGAGAAGGATCTGGAGGAACTTCCACAAGAGCCTGCAAACAGTCATAGAAACAGGATCCATTACCTTGTACTCATGGCCCATACGGCCCTCTGGACATGCTCTATCCCCAACAAGAGGTACCTTCAGCAGGATCCCAGCATGTTCTGCTTCTAGCAACAACTTCTGACTGCCATGCAGCAGATGAGAAGCACTTAGGTGTGCAAATCTCTTCTTTCATGTGGAAGCAACTGAGGACAATTAGAAGTTAATTCATTGTCTCTAAGAGAGACATGTAGTACAAATAGTAGTAGTGCTTGAAAGTAGCACTCTCAGCATAAGGACTAGGCCATTTGTTCTGTCATGGGGATCACTGATAAACCTACCGAAAGGTGAAGCACCTACAACACATTAGTGATATCCAACAGTCCAGCTCAGGATGGTGACTTACAGTGGGATCCAAGAGAAAACCAGAGAGAACAAGATCCAAGCCCTTGACATAGGGACAACCCAGCATGGGGTCATTACAGGTGCTTCCTGATGCATGGAGACCATCTTGATATCTCGTCCAAAGCCCAGGCTCCCAACAATAGAGAGGGACAATGAAATAGACCAAGAGTCAACAAGAGAAGCGGAGACCATGCTAAGATTTCCTTCAATGCCCTACAGACCATTGATGGGGTGAAAAAGGGGGACAATCCCTGACTGTTAACAGAGGTCCAATGTCACACAGAGTGTAGCCCTTTCAGCACAGTTCTGGCTGCAAAAAAGTGGACTGGAAGGTTGTCTGAGCATCCCAAAATGGGGTATACCAGTAAAAGACACTAGGGTAGACACAGGGTGCAGTGCTCTGGGAAGTAGCAGATCCCTTCCTTGGCAAGGGATCATATCCTTGCTAAGTTAGAGACAGACATAGTCCCATTTGACCTTGTAGGTCAGGGAGTCCCTCTGGAATAGGGGGATTCTGAGGAACACCAGGGATACCAAGAAGAGGGATTCATCGGTACTCAAGAGTATAAGTTACCCTGAAAAAGGAAGTGGGACTCTGGATGGGGTATGAATCCAGAAGCCATATACACACTTGGACAGGCCCAAGGGATCTCAAGTGGGAGGATCCCAAGTGGGGGGAACCCAAGAAGACCTGGGAAGTTGCATTGCTTTGTGCAGCAACACAAGAAAGATAGTAAGGGGCAACTGAAGGAGGTGCCAGACAAAAGAGGTTAGCCAATGGGCTAATAAGGGGTGTCCCGATCATCCAAAGAGAGGGCTGATCCTCCAGATGCAAGCTAGGACACACTACATCAAAAAGCTTTGAAACACCCACCTGTAAATCTGAGTTAACAGCAATAGGCTGTGGTGCCACAAAAACAGTCAATTCAGAGATAAATTGCTGGATCCCTGGGACTCTGAGTCCTGAGTCAAAGGTGGTGACAGGGGCCATAGACAGCTTGATTTAAGGACTTGTAAGAGTCAGAGACAGACTCTGCAGGGGAAGGCACCAGATTATGCTTGAAGCCTCTTCAGGCAGCATACCCCAGTAGCTGAGCACAAACAGATCTCTGGTCTTGGCTAGAAATTTTGTTCAGCTTGTTGTTGAATCTAGAGGCCAGGACGTTGATTTTCCCCACCTTCGACAGAGATTTTGAAGTTTCCAACCAAGAAAATAGCATATTTGTTTCCTTTAGAGAAGCTTGACTTGTGGTGTCCCCCTGATTTTTTTTAATCTAACAATATTGCATTGTCTGCTTATACCTGGACTGGGTGACATTTGCAGAAGGGAGGTCCAGTTTTGTAAACATAACCTCATGGCTCTCGGTTCTGAAAAGTTGACGTTTTGACTCCTCTGGGGATCATATTGCCTAGACATTCAGGGAGCTGTAAACTCTTCCCCAGCTTGTAAGGCTGGCATCTGTTATCACATTCCGAGACATGTGAAGGAATGACTTCCCAATCCAAGGGCAACATTAAGATCCACAATGTCAGGGAGAAATTCGTCTGGCTGGACAGAAACACTGGGCAATCCAAGAATGGATTTGATTGTTCAGAGATGTGTGTGTATGTTGGATTAAAAAAGTCTGGAGTGAAACTGGACAAAGAGAACTGCCTCAAATTAAGCTACCATTTGGTTGAAAACCTTCATGCAGAAGAAAACTGAGGGGTGCCATTTTGAGGGTCTGCATGTGGGACCACAGGAGTGCAACTTTTTTCTGAGGAAGGAAGATTTTGCTTGGACTGTTACCAAGATTAGACCCAGATGGTGTGAGACGTGGGGAGTAGATTTGCAAAGTTTATCATCCAGCCAAAGTTTTGAAGGAACGAATAACCCTCAGGATGTTGGCAGACAAGGATGTGGCCAAGGAATCCTTCAATGGAAGGGAGAGGCAGGAGCAGGGTGAAATTTCCCATCTGAGAGATGCAATGACAGATCTCATTGATTCCATCTGGAATTTTGACACACAAAGACATCTGTTTAGGGATTCTAAGTCCAGTGTTGGATGGATGCCCCAATTTGATTTTTGGGACAATATACAGTATAGGTTGAAAAGAAACCCTGAAAAAAATATTTTTAAGAGGAACTGATACAACCACTCGGGGTTTATTTACTAAAGCTGGAAAGTGCAAAATCAGGCTCACTTTTGCATAAAAACCAATCAGCTTCTAACCTCTGCTTGCTCAATTAACTTTTGCAATAATACCTGGAAACTGATTGATTTCTACGCAGAAGTAAGCCTGACTTTGCACTCTCTAACTTTAGTAAATAAACCCAATTGTATCTGATGATGGTGCAAGGCAGTCATTAAATCTGCCTTCATTTTGGCTTCAAGCTACATATTGGAAAGCAAAAAATGTAAGGGGATTGAGACAGAAACTCTGTTTTCTACCCCTTTAAAATGACAAATTGGACTCAGAGGTTTGGGATGTCTCAGATCCAGACTGGTGTCAATGCCAACAGATGTCCACCCTCTCTGAGGTAAGGATGGTTTCCAGGTAGGCTTGGTGGACTTAGGAGACCAGGGCTTGTGACAACATGAAATGTTAAGAATTGGTGTTGAGGTTGATGCCTGGAGAGAGTGAAAAGAACAAGATTGGAAAGCTATTTAATCTGTGTGTGCACAGTATGGCTCTGATAATGCTAATGTACTGATTAGATTTCTGGTTGAGCATAACAGAGGTCTATAACTGGACAAGTGGTGATGGATGGAGAGTTCTTTGATGAAGTAGGGGTTAGCTGATTTGGCTTTGACCTTAGAGAATGCCAGTGCATTGGGCTAATTTATGCAAACTGAAGTCCAAGTGAACTAATTAACATCAGAAGCCAGTATAGTTCTGGTGTACGATGGGTGTGTTTCAGGAAGTTTATTGCTTGAGGTGATTGTAGCCGTATTAGTGCATTTGCGACAGGAACAATTGAGCACTGTCCATGATACTTTTTTTTTATTTGCACTAACATACAATTTTGAGGACAAGCTTTCGGGGAAAGTCCCCTTCTTCAGGTCTAAACAGTACTCAAGTTCATTATATTATATGCTATCAATATAGTAAAATAAATGTTAATATAAATACTCCAAACATTTTAACATGGTGATTAAAAGTGTAATTGTAAAGGTAAGAAGAAAAATCACATAGTCTACAGTGCAGACTGTATATACATGATTATTTTTTTTGTGTGTGACCCTGTTGATATTTTCAAAAAATCAATGGAATCCTGTAATACAGAAAGAAATGTCACGCAAAATAAAAGTGAACTAATTCATCTACAATAAATAAACTCCTGAAATATTTCTGCAATTATTCCATCCAGTCCTACTTCACATTAGATTTGGACTTTGTGCATACTGGTACCAATAGAAAAACACAGCAGAAAGTTAAAGTGATGCAATTTATTGATTAACAAATGCTCTAAAAAATATTTCTTTATATTTTTTATGTATATAATATCATATATTTCAATTAATTTCTCCATCAGTTTTAAGAACATAAGGTGCATTCAGTTTTACACTTAAATGTACTGATAGCCAGTAAGCTTTATATGAGCTCCATTGGTTCCTAACATTTAGTAAGAAAATCTCAATAGCCTGAGATAATGTGCCCACAGGATATTCATGTGAGAAAAGGTAACTTTAAAAAAAGATATGGATATATTTATATTGGCAGCCCAGGAATAAATAAGCAACGAAACACTGCATACCTGATAAACTGTCAAGCTCTTGCCTAATACCCGAGAGATCCAATGGTTCTACATTTTCTTCTGGAGGGGACTGAATGTTGATGATAGGGGTTGGCTGAGAAGATGATCTTCTAGCAGAAAAGGCACCAGCTGAGGACAGTAAGGACAAGCCAGAACTAGGCCTGGAGTCCCTGGAACTGTGGTAACAAAAAATAAAATATACTATTTATATAGTCATTGTATTTCCACTTAACTGTACATAGTTGTATATGACATACACATGTCCAGGCGTTCAGAAATAATTACATTTGGATACTTGGGCTGGTTGCAAGATGTATATCCAGGCCAAATGGCCTATGAAAACTGTATAAACTGTGGACTAATAAGGACTCTTACATGCCCACAGCAACACTGTCTTGAGGTGATGGCATCCTAATCAAAAACCATCAGTATTTTTCATAATGACATTCTACAGCTATATACAATGTTAAAGTTTGAGGGTTTTAAAAGTGATCATGTTAAAAAAAAAATAATTAAAAATAAAAACTTTGAGAACATTGACTGGAATATTTTTTACATTGTGGCTTTACTTTTTCATTTACAGTTAGTTTTTAGGTTACAATGCACAACTTATTTATCATTGTCAAATTGGCCCCAGATGTTTGCAAAATATGAAACTGTATATCTGTTAAAAAGTACTTACACAATTAGTGTTATGATAATTCACAAAAATATGTGCTTGGTGCTCAATCCTTGGCAAAGCATTTGTGTTTTTATTGACAGGGATCATTAATAAACTCAAACCCAGAGGTGACAACCCTAGATGTGACTGCTACTCCTAACAAATTGGGAATCAGCCCTTCTAGTAGGGGTGGTGAGAGTAATGCAGGAAGGTCTAGACAGTTGGAGATTATATGCCATGTTGCATGTGGTGGACCAGGTAGACAAATTACTGGGAGGAGCTAGGCATGATCCAGCTGTCTTGATCTGTAGGGACCAAAGACAGAGTTCATGGAAGATGGGGAATCCTTAAGAATGAATTTAGAGAACTAGGCAGCAAGTTAAAAGGATAGGACCTCCAAGGTTACCAACTCTGGAATATTGCCTGTGGGATGTGCAACACAAGAAAGACAGAGGGAGCTTAGAGAGTTAAACATATGGCTAAAGACCTGGTGTAAGTTGAAAGGACAAGGGGACACACACACACACACCTTTTTGCTGGGGCAAAACGTATATAATAAAGATGGTTTGCACCTAAATTAATAGATTGTTTTTCTTTCAGCCTGTGCTAAACTGTGTAAATGGATGAATCTCCCGCTTCGGCTACTGTTTGCTGACAGCTGCTGCCTGCCGGCTGTCAACATTCCCAAATAATACCTGTATTATTATTATTATTATTATTATTATTGTAATTTAGGTTTTACAACATAAAGGAAACAGTACAGTTGCAATACAAAATGAGGATTAGGAGGGACTGGATGCAGGTGCTGCTTGGCTGACAATTTTCTGCACTGGTCTTTTTTAGTTGAAGGATGTTGGGCAGGAGGGTGCTGACTGGGCCACATGCAGAGTGAATTTTGCTTAGTTCATCAGGAACCAGCAAAAAATACACTCTTTGTATTGCTAGTTTTAGACTATAATAGGGATGATAAGTGAGACAAGGGTCAGACACTAATATTAATATAGAATGGTTAGGGGAGGGCTATGGAAGGTGACAAGAAGATTCCCATATTATAAACAAACATTGACAACTACAGTACTTCAAAAAGATATGGTAAATACAAGTGCAAAACATAACAATGGGTTAATGTGTTTGTTCACCAATGCCAGAGATCTGCCAAGCAAAATGGAGAGTTGGAAGCTTAAATGCATAAAGAGTCTATAATTTAATTGGTATTGCAGAATCGTGGATTCATTCTTCACATGACAGAGCTATTAAAATTCCTGGCTGTATTCTCTTTCAGAGGCAGTGTCTGTCGCTATGGGGTTGATTTACAAAAACTGGAGAGTACAAAATCTGGTGCAGTTCTGCATAGAAAACAATCAGCCTCCAGGTTTTTTTTTGTCAAAGCTTAATTGAACAAGCTGGAGTTAGAAGCCGATTGGCTACCATGTGCAGCTCCACCAGATTTTGCACGCTCCAGTTTTAGTAAATCAACCCCTATGTGAGAAGTGATATAAAAGGTGAAAGGAGGACCTTGTTGATGGAGAGTGTGATAGTGTTAAGGCACCATAGGTGGAGTGACATATAGGTGTGTGCATACTAAAAAGGTAATTATTGCAGCTTGTTTCAGGTCATCCAAGGTTAATGAGGAGGCAGAAATTCAGCTCCTTACACAAATTGGAAGGGTTGGGAAGATGGTAATGATTGGTGATTGTAACTTCCCTGAAATTGACTGGTGTAATCCAAATGCTGGAACAGTAAAAGGGTGGGCATTTACAAACTTATTACAACAATAAAATACAACATTTGACACTTCCCCAACCACCAACTATAATGGGGTGTATTCCCCCTACAGAAATTACCTCATCTCAAAACAGAAAAGGAATACAAGGGGTAAATATGCACTCTAATTACCGTACATGTAAATGTATAGTTATCTTTACTCCATATACTGTATACCCTCCCCTTTCACCAAGATATACAATTAAAGAAGACAACTGTCAAGAATATTTAACTAAGAACCACGTTATTTTCACATACAGTATATTATATGAATGTAATGTGGTTATTATCCAAGTATCCTTTTGCCTAAACATATGCTCTAAAATATGTATTTTTGACGATTGTCTGTTTTAATTGTATGTCTTGGGGAGCGTATATATGGAGTAAAGAGTACTATACAGTTATAAATACATTTTGTATGGAAACTAGAGTATGTGCATACTCCTTTTTGTCTTTTTTGTTTTTGGATGATTTTATTACAAGACAATTGTATGATACAGTTTATAGAAGCCCAAACTTGAAATGATGAAAGATACTAGAAAGATAAAAAAAAAATGTGTAAGAGAGCAAATTTTTCAGTGCTGAGAGTTGCTCTCCAAGACTTTTACTGGGAGGGAATTTTGTCATCAGAAAGTACAAAACAGAACTAGGAATGTTTAAAATCGATTGTATATAAACACACTGCAAAATACAGTATATCTTTGGACTGTTAACGGGTAAAACGCTTAAAGAGGAACTTTGTGTTTGTTGAGAAAAACAAGTATGTTTGACGTCACCGGCTGCAGAAATAGTGAAAATCTCCTAACCTGTAGCTTAACTTTAGGTACAAGTCACTGAGCAGTGTTTACTACTGCTTTATGGGGGATGTAATATAAATGGTCCATACAGTGAACTTGGTACAAAGTTATTCACTTAGAGGCGACACTCAGAGTCTGGAGGAAAAAGAGGTCTTATCCTTTGCATATGGAAAGGCTTCTTCATAGTAAGCACTGAGAAAATATAGAATAGACACTCTCCACAACTAGTTCTAGCTAGCTCAGTATATTGTTTAAAAAAAGCTGCATGACCCTCTAAATGCACAGAATATAACTGGGTATTAAAATTTAATAACACCAGAGATTGCTGATCCAGGGAATATCCAACTGCCTTAAGGGGATCAAGAACAATTTGATCCCCTGTTGGAGCAAAGTGGACCATGCTTTATAAGGGCTTTTGCTTCCTCTGGATTAACTGTGGGTATTGAGTTTTGTTTATGGAGGTTTTCAATTTATTTATTTATTTACAATTTTTGCCTCTTGGTTGAACTTGATGGACTTGTGTCTTGTGGTTTTTTGTAACCTATGTAACTATGGTTTTCCATAGTCTATGTGTTATGCCATGTGCATACATTTGCTAACTGGTGCAAGTTGAATGGCTCATGTAGCTTTTAAATTGCTGATCATCTTTATTTGTTTTGATATGCTCTATTCAATATATTATTCATTGATGTTGATTTGTCGCATTGTGAGACACTAAGTGCTACTGTACCAGTAGTATGTACCTCTTAAAAACACATTACTATGTTTTGACTGGTGCTATTTTGCCTAGTAAGCATGATAAATGGTTTAATACCCTGTTGTAGTTGGCAAAGGGTACTGCTCCATCTATTAGCACTGGCAACCACGTAACTCGGAATTTTTTGTATTTTGGACAATGTATCAACAGTTTATCTTTTACCCTCTGCCCAAAGTGAGGTACTGATGATGGGGAAAAATGCATTCCTAAGCAACATGGCACAGACTTGCAGAGTTGACAATTTTCCATTAAAAGCACAATATGGAGGTGCGCAAGCGTGGGCTGCAGGAGCAGATGTCCCGGTGAACTGCTCTGCACCCTCCCGGCACATCCAGCGACCTATAGCGGGTACAGGACCTCGCTCAGGCTCCTAACTGGATCCGGTCACCTACGGGCACTGTAGAGCCGTTCTCCATATGGCTAGAAAGGGCCGGAGCAGCTCTCAACACCCACTCCTCGTGGCGGGCAGGGGGGGCAAGCTGGTGGCCGGCTCCGATCCCACTGCTGGCGGTTCTTCCCTGCAAATTAGGCCTCTTCCAAAGAGGACCAGGGCTCGCATTTCCTGCATTGAGGACCGTGATGTGGATCCTACTACTTCTACTAAGGTGGTGAGTGAGCTTCTTAATTCCCCCCATCCCTCCTCTAGCCCTGCTGCATCTCCATCACAGGCCTCTGCCTGCTCCTTAGGCCATGATTCCCACACTTCCTCTTTGGATAATGAGATGGCTGATATTTTCCTCAGCCAAAATAGTGGCATGGACCCTGATCTGGATAGCCCTGCGGGATTCCCAGCACCTCCGCCTATCCCACCACAGTATTCTGGAGACAGTCATTATTGCCCGCTTTGCTGATCTGTTACAGCAGGAATTGGATAAGGCTACTACTAAGTTAGCAGCAGATTTAAAGCAGGATTTCCAGGAATTAGGCCATGTTTAGATAGTATTGAATCTAAAGTAGATGCCACTGTCCATAATGTATCTCAAAATTCTAGTAGGATTACGGAGTTGCAGGACCGACTGGAAGAAGCTTACATTAAAAACGCTACAATTTCTGTATCTGGGGACTCCCGGAATTGGTGAAAGATCTTATACTACCCTTACTAATTCGTTAATGCGATCAGCAGTGCCTAAGAATGATGACCTCTATTTGTAAATTGACCGCATTCACAGGGCCCTGATTCCCCCTAGACCGGTGGGG